GTCCTGCTGGCTCTCCCATCTCACAGAACTGCGGGTGTGGGGGCATCGGGGGGGAGTGGGCGTGGAGGGGGGGGAGGAGGGACGGGGGGTGTGGAGGAAGCGGGAGCAGGGGGAGCAGGGGGAGCAGGAGCAGGAGCCGGAGCAGGAGGAATTGGGAAGTGGTCGAGCAGGCTCTGAAGGTGGCCTCGCAGGGCAAGGCCCTGCTCCTCCAGTGCCTCCAAGCTCCTCCGGCACAGCCTCAGGTCCTCCTGGACCCAGTGGTTGCCTGGAGACCAGCCCCTTCTGCACGACCAAGTGGGTTAACGGAGAGTCCATTAACCCTCACTGGGCCTTTCTCCCCACCTATGTTGGGACAGTGGGCAGACTCCGCCTCCTGTCTGGTCCTCCTGCCTGAGTCAAGCCACAGAACCCCACATGTCCACAGTCCATACTGTCTGGGCAATCCCATTTCCTATGCCCTTCCCTCCCACATTGCCTGCATGTCGTTGTGCCAGCCCCTAAAAATGCTCCTCGAGGTGCCTCCTTCCTCTCTGAGTCTTTCCCAGAAAGGGGTTTCTCTGGCCTCCTCTCTGGTTCCTTGTCCCTGTTGGGTCGGCCTTCTTTCGGGGGAACCTCTGCCTCAATGTACTCCTCCGCCATCCTGACCACTGCAACCACTGTGTCAGGCTGGTGGTGCCTGACCCACATATGGATATTTTCTGGAAGGGTTTGCAGCAAATGCTCGAGTACGAGTGAGTCCATTATTTCCTGCACTGTCCGTGTCTCTGGCCTCAGCCAGTCGGTTGCCCAGTCTAGCAACTTTTGGGAAAATGCCCAGGGCCTCACTGTTGCTGTCCATCGAGCTGACCAAAACTTCTGCCCGTATTTTTCTGTGGACAGACCCATCCAGTCCAAAAAGGACATTTTCACCGCCTCATAGTTGCGGGCTGCCTTAGCCTTTCCTGCCAGGTAGGGAGCCAGATGAAGGGCCCAGGTAGCCCTCTCCCATCCAGTGCCCATGGCTATCTGCTCAAATGTTCCCAAAAAAGCATTGAGGTCATCTGCTAGCCCCATTTTACAGCGTCCCAGGCCTGGCAGTCAGATACCATCCCCTTTTCCCAAAAAAGCATTGAGGTCATCTGCTGGCCCCATTTTACAGCGTCTCAGGCCTGGCAGTCAGATACCATCCCCCTCAGGACTCACCAATTTTTCCAGGAGTTGCTGCTGCACCTTGGCCTGCTCCTTAATGAAGTCCTGCAGGCTTTGCTGTTGCGCTGCCTGCCAGGTTAGCAGGGCCTGTCTCTCTGCCTGGTGGGACTGCTGGAAGCTTTGCAGGGCCTGCTGCATGTGCTCTTGATGCTTGACCAGACAATGCAGGGTCTCCTCCATCTCTGGATCACCCACCATGTTTGCTGGCACTGAATCCCATCCCAGCACCGTTACCCACACTCCCCAGCCAATGCAGGGTTTCCTCCATCTCTGGACAACCAACCATGTTTGCTGGCACTGAATCCCACCCCAGCACCGTTACCCACACAAATGTCTCTATCCCTTCCACATTGTAGGGATACATACCTTTACTAAGTTCCTAGGGCTCTAGGTGCAACTCTGTTAATTTACACACCCACCCTTACCCACTTCCTAGGGCTCAGGGCATATCTTTCTGCGGGTTGGCACGATCGTTAGCCGGTTAATTTACACACCCACCCTTACCCAATTCCTAGGGCTCAGGGCACATCTTCCTGTGGGTTAGTGCGATCTTTAGCCACCGAAAGAGCCTCACACTTATCCTCTATTTATTTACAATTCCCACACAAGCAGAATACACATGCTAAGCGCACAGTGTCATGCTCACGGATCCTGATAAAAGGCAGGCAGACTTCCTTGTTGGTCAGGCAATATCAGTCTTTTCGGTCTTAGTCTTCTAGCCTTTTCTTCCTTCTGTTGTTCCTGATCTTCCTTCCTTCTCTTTCTTGGAACCTGGTCTTCTTCTAGCCTTTTCTTCCTGCTGTTGTTCCTGATCTTTCTTCCTTCTCTTTCTTGGACTTTATATAATGAAACCTGTGTCATGCTTAGCTATACCATAACCAATTATTTTAGTATAATTTTACTAACCATGTAAATAACAAAATTTCCTAACCAATCATACCCCAACACCTTAATTGATTTACAGCTAGCAAAATTAATTATACAGCAGACAGAAACAGTTACAAACCAGACAGAGATCTCACAGTCAAACAATAGGGAAAAATTAATTATACAGCAGACAGAAACAGTTACAAACCA